TGCTACTGAGGATTTGTTCATAAAGTCTTTTCCTATACCAATGTCTTCCAGAGTTCTGCCTAACTTACCTTCCAGCAAGTTTAATGTTTCTGTTTTAATATTTAGATCTTTAATCCATTTGGATTTTAATTTAGTGCATGGCGAAAGATAAGGGTCTAATTTTAATCTGTGGCAGGTTGACATCCAGTTTTTCCAACACTATTTATTAAAGAGGCTATCTTTCCTCCACTGAGGATGGTCAGCTCCTTTGTCAAAGATGAGGTAGCTGAGTACATCTGGGTTTGTTTTTGTGTCTTCCAGTCTGTTCCACTGATCCTCAGGCCTATTTCTTTGCCAGTACCATTGTGTTTTTATCACAGTGGCTTTGTAGTATAGTTTCAAATTGGGAATTGTTACATCTGGTGCCATGTGACTGTTGCCTTGTATTATTTTTTTTTGAGGGAGGATATTATAAGTATGTTTGGATTTAAGAAATTTAAGTCTATTTAATGATGAAGTGGTGATACCATATTATCCTTGAAATGTTGGCTCTCTATAAGACATTAGGCCAAGGAAAGGGTGGCTTTGTAGTATAGTTTCAAATTGGGAATTGTTACATCTGGTGCCATGTGACTGTTGCCTTGTATTATTTTTTTTTGAGGGAGGATATTATAAGTATGTTTGGATTTAAGAAATTTAAGTCTATTTAATGATGAAGTGGTGATACCATATTATCCTTGAAATGTTGGCTCTCTATAAGACATTAGGCCAAGGAAAGGTCTCTATGGTTAAAAAGGTTTTAAAAACATTGAGTTTTTGTATTTACAAGAAGAGTACTTATATTAGTCACTTTCCTGTTGCTAAGACAAAATCCTGGACACCTGCAACTTTTTTTTTCCATTAAGTTTATTGGTACATTTAAAGAAAACAGCACAGTTACATTTATCATTAGGATCTTGTACCTTTACATGATATATCTTGGTTCTCATTTTTTCCCCATAGCCCTGTCCTCCCTTCACCCCCTTTACTCTTCCCTATTTACAAAGACTTTGCTTTCATTTTTTAATTTTTTCTTTTCCCTCCTTCCCCCTCTCCTTCCCACTTCTCCTTGAGCCATTTTCTTCCTACTTCACACTCTCAATTATACCACTTGAACCTTATTTACACTTCTAGTTTTTCACACCTGAGAAACTATTTGGTATTTACTCAAGTGTGTCCTATTTATTTCACTTAAGCGTATGACCTCAATATGCATCCATTTAGCTATAAGTGTTCTAGTTTCTTATTCTTTATGGCTGAGTAAAATTTTAAGCAAAATTTTATTTATTTATTTATTTATTTTTGGTATTAGGGATCGAACTCTGGTCCTTGCACTTGTAAGGCAAGTGGTGGAACCACTGAGCCAAATCCCCGGCCCTTAGCTAAAGTTTTAAAGAAAAACCACATCTTCTTCATCCAGAATCCAGTTGGTGGGCAATTGGGCTGTTTCCAAGTTTTAGCTATTACAAACTGTGTCTCTATTAACACGGGTGCGCATATATCACTGTGGTATGATTCTTTTAATTCTTTTGACAGATACCCAGCCGAGGGATAGCTGGGTCAAATGGGACTTCTATTTCTACTTCTTTGAGGCATCTCCATATTGATTTCCACAGTGGTTGCACCAGTCTGTACTTGACCAACAATGGAGAAGTGTTCCTTTCTCCCCACAGCCCTGCCAGCATTTGTTTTGATAGCTGCCACTTTTTCTGGGGTGAGGTGGAATCTCAGTATTGTTTTCATCTGCATGTTTTGAATAACTAGTGATGTGGAGCATTTTTTCATATACTTATTTGATGTTTTTACTTCTTTGTCTGAGAAATGTCTGTTCATTGCATTTGCCCATTTTTGGATTGGGTCTTTGTATTTGGGGGACCTGATATTTTTGAGTTCTTTATATATTCTAGATAGTAGTCGTTTGTCTGAGGAGCAGCTGGTAAATTTTTTCTCCCACATTTTAGGGTGTCTCTTAGCTCTGTTGGTGATTTCTCTTGCACTGCAAAAACTTTTTAATACAGTGAAGTCCCAGTTGTTGATTCTCTGTGCAAGTTCTCGTGCTGCTGAGGATTTGTTCATAATAGTTCATAATGTCTTCTCCTTTGCCAATTGGACACCTGCAACTTAAAGGACAAGTGGTTTGTTTTGGCTTATGTTTTTCAGAGGATTCAGTCTATGGTTGATTGGCTCCAAAGCAAAAGTGGCAGGGCCGAAAGGCACGGTGGAAGAAAGCTGCTTACTGTCCTGGTAGAAAGACAGAGGAGGAAGGGAGAAGCTAGGGACAAGAATACAGTCTTCCAAGTCACAGCCTCAGTGACCCACCTCCAACCATGCTCCACCTCCTAAGAGCATGTGAATTTCTGTACTCATCAGTGGATGGGTCTATGGGTGACTATGGTGCTCCGAAATCCAATCACCTCTCACACATGTGAGACCCCCGGGGAACATTTTAGCTGTAACCCACAATAGTACTTTATCTCTGATATTAGAATTTAAGGACACCTCATGTATAAAAATTGTATATTTATATCAATATTAGAAATATGAAAAAGTAGAATAATGTTCCTAATTTCAGTTTTCCGGTCCCTGCATGTGGAAAAGATTGAGGTTTTTTTATTATTTTTTTTAATCAGCCTTTGTACAGCAGAAAGCACTAAATGTTTTTTTTTTTGTTGTGTTGTTAACAGCAGTTTACTTTGATCTATCTACTGATTTAACTATTTTAGAGCAGTTTTAAGTTCACAGTAAAACTGAGTGGCAGGTACAGAGATTTTCCATGTGTCCCTTGCCCACACATAATAGCCTCCCTCACTAGAGTGGCACATCTGTTACGGTTGATGAGTCTATATACATTATCGCCCAGTCCATAGTTTATATTAGGGTTCACTTGTGGCATTATACATTCTATAGGTTTGGATAAATATATAATGACATGTATCACCATTATAGCATCATACACAATAGTTTCACTGCCCTAAAAATCCTCTAGCACTAAGGATATTAATGGCTGTAAGAAGTCCTACAATAAGATACCTGCTTAACTGTTTAAAATCCAGCACAGAATCAATCCTCAAACGTTTTCCCCACATGATATCTGCTAATTTCTCAAGAGCTGGTATTCCAGGACAAAAGAGACCTCCCTCGGCTTAGAGTGGTTTTGTCCATCTTTTGTTGTAGTGCACGGTTTCCAAGGTCGATGTTTCTGGCTTACTCTACCCATGATGTGGTGGCTTTAACCCAAGAACTAGTGACAAAGATAGTTACCAGGGCCTGAGGTGACACAGTAAGCTGCTGGTAGAGGCAGGTGGCATGAGAACCCCTCCTTCCAGGCCTCAGCCACCTTTGATCTGCCCACATCCCACATATTCAATGCCTCTGAAGCCTGAATGTGTCACTTCAGTTTCATCAGCATCTGTAATAAAGGCAATGGCAGGGTTGAGGAGCTCCTGATTCATCCAGACAGTGAAGCCCACATGGGAAGATAGGAAAAGGTCATTTTACCTGGTTCCTATGCCTGAGCAGAAAAGTCCCTGGTCCCAGAAGGACAGGTATCTGAGTATCTTAGAAAGTTTCCAGGAAAAAAAAAAAAAAAAAAAAAAAAAAAAGACTCTAAAGATTCCCTTTGTAATCAGTGCTATGTAAGGATACTCCTCTTTCACTCCAAATCATTTTCTTGCATTTCTATATTCAATGGCCAGAATTAGTAAACTCTTTCCTGGGCTTGTAGAGAAAAATCTGGCTAAAATCAAGGGGTGAAGGTGAGGGAAATCTCATGAAATAATGAAAAGCATATAAACTTCTCCTCTCCAGAGGGAATGAACTACAGCTCCTCCTTCTCCTACAGCACAGACCCTATCCTTTCTCTACTGGGGACACCCAGACTCACCTATCTGTTAATCTGTGTCTGGCGCCACCTCCACCACTCACAGATGTCCCCACAACTTTGTTCCCTGAGGAGTAAACAGCTTGGTTGTTATTATGTCCTGTAACTGGCCAAGTGGAAACTCAGTCATTTACCTTCGAGTATCATCTGGCCACCCATGAGGGCCCAGAGGAAAGCACAAGTTCAAGGTTAAGACCCAGGACCAGGAATGCACCCTGTCCTAAGCACCAGTCTGTTTCACAATCATCTAGGAAGTTCCTGGTGCCAAGGCCAGGGTTGAACTCTTGGGAGCAGGGGAAGGAAGGCTCAATCTGATGGGAATCCTGGACTTTTCCATATGCTTCTCCTACCCCCAGGCCAACCCCACTGGAATCATGCCCTGAAGATCTTGACAATGAGGATCAGGGTAATTGGAGGGTAGCACGTGGAGATAAGGTAGCTAAATTATTGTAATGCAGGAGGTCAGCAAAGAAAATGCAGCGTTCTAGGCCATTTTATAGGGGATTCCCGGACAGTTCAGGAGGAAGAGACAAAAATCTTGGAGAGTGGATGGTAATTTCAGAAATGCAGAACCCAAGGGATCTCAGAGATGTTCCCCACATACAAATTAGGCTGACTCCAGTCTGTTGGCCTGCGCAGACCTATTTAAAGGCTGAGGCCGGCCGAGAGCAGCAGTGGACCTGACCCACCAGCACCGTATCACTCAGCAGCCTTCCCAGTCCTCACCAGCATGAGCCGCCAGCTGACCCTCTTCACCGGTGGGGAGCGCCTGGGCTTCAGCGGCTACTCCGCAGTCCTCTCGGGCCGGTTTGGCAGTAGCTGCTCCTCGTTCAGGACCGGGGTCAAGGGCGCGGCGCCCTTTGGTAGCAGGAGCCTCTTCAGCCTGGGGGGTGGCCGGCGCCAGGCTCGCTGCTGCGCTGGGTCCGGGCGGGGCGGTGGCTTTGCGCTCGGCCATGGCGGCGCGGGCGGAGGCCGCCCGGGAGGCTTTGTGGGCACCATTTTTGGCAGCGCGGGGCTGGGTCCCACGTGTCCCTCCGTGTGCCCTCCCGGCGGCATCCCTCAGGTCATTGTCAACAAAAGTCTTTTGGCCCCCCTCAACGTGGAGCTGGATCGCGAGATCCAGAAGATGCGGGTCCAGGAGCGGGAGCAGATCAAGGCGCTGAACAACAAGTTTGCCTCCTTCATCGACAAGGTGGGTCGTCTAGTCCCCGCCTGTGCCTGCGATGGGGCTCCAGTCGGACTGCTGAGTCGGACTGCAGCAAGAAATCATCTCTCAGCTTCCTTTTCCTCATTCATAAAATGGGCACAATGTATCCCAATGTGTTCTAAAGAGGACCAACTGGGATGTTCATAGTGCTTACAACAACGACTGGCACACACTCAAAAGAGGAGACTCTCATTTCCTCCTTGTTATGCAAAATCCTGGGAAGGCAAAGGGTCTCCCAGAGGCAAGAGACCTGTGGAATGGGTCTCTTGTGGGCTCCCAGTACTAGACTAGGGAATGGGGACGTGCATCTAGGACAGGGGCAGTAGTAGAGGGACACAGCCAGGGGATGTGAAAGGTGAATGGGCACAGACTAGAATGGTAGGAAGAGGGTATGCGAGCCAGGCAGATTTCCAGAGGAGGTAGGAGAAAAGGGACAGAAAATTGAAGCGTGGGCCTCATGGGGACATTTTAAAGGAAAGCATGTGACATTAGGTTGTATTGGGGGACTGTGCCCAGAAATGAGGTAACAGGGAAGATGTCTCTGGAGGTTGAGTGGTAGTGACCCCAGGGAGTGGGGAGGAGGCCAGGAGTGGGCTTCTGTCTCTATTGAGGAAACAGGGCTAGGTCATGAGCGGCAATAAAGGGACAGATGTAATACTAATGACAATAGCTGACACTGATGGAGACACTACCTGGCACCTGGTGCTGTCCAAAGTGACACACTTATCAATGCACAATCCATGATTCCTGTCTTGAAGACGAGATTAACACAGAAAGAGGCTTAGAAATGAGTTCAAGTTGGTGGAGTACTCGGTGGTGGACTGTCTGCTTCACCCCTGTGCTGGGGAAAAGGAGTGAGGGGGCTGGAGGTGCTAGACCAGGAGTAGGAGAAACACAGCTACTATTTTGGAGGACAGAGGCCATCTTTTCCTCTTTCAAAGACAGTACCTGTTTCCTGTGTCCCCCAAGCTTAGAGACAGGCAAGAAGAGGAATGCTGGTAACTGGCAAGGGCTGAAAGTGAGTAACCTTAGATGGGAGAACCTGCTTTAAACACCAACAACTGCAGCAACAACAACAAAACCCAACCAACCACGAGCAGTTCAGTCTCCATTAGACAATGCATCCTAACTGCCAGAGTGACTTCCCAGTCCAGTTCTCTGCTGTGTTTCCCAGAATCTAGAATCAAAAGTCACCTTGGTCACACGAAACTCACCAAGGCAGAGGTGGATGACATCATTGCTTAGGCCCACTTCCTTTTTTTGTTTGTTTGTCTGGCTGGATCTTGTCTTGGAGACCCAAAGGAGGATGTCCCTCTGGCTGAATATAGTGTCTGATTAACCTTGCTCCATCCTGTCCCATTCATGACAGCATGGGGACTATGGGTCATGACAACTTTTGGGTTTCAGGTGCGCTTCCTGGAGCAGCAGAACCAGGTGCTACAGACCAAGTGGGAGCTGCTGCAGCAGCTGGACCTGAACAACTGCGGCAAGAGGCTGGAGCCCATTTACGAGGGTCACATCAGCAGCCTGAGGAAGCAGCTGGAGACACTCTCTGGGGATAGGGTGAGGCTGGAATCGGAGCTGAGGAACATGAAGGACATAGTGGAGGACTACAAGAAGAGGTGAGCAAGAGGCAGAGAAAATAGTACTGGAGAGTGTGATTGCAGATGAGGTTTCTATTTCTAGCCAGAAGTTTTGCCTCAGTTCCTTGGTTGATACCATCGCTCTTTCCTTTCCCCTAGGTGAAGGAGGACATCTAGATAGAATGAGACTTAGGAAAGCAATGGATCTACCCAGAACGGTGCTCAAAATTGTAGAAAGCGTGTGTTGAATTTCTAGCATTGGAAATGGAAGAATAGGGGAAAAAGAATTGGGTCAACATCAGATGGACAAGCCAAGTGCTTTGTGGTTCCTCTGAAGTAAGATTTCCATGGCAGCTCCCAACACATGAAACACCCCACCAATCCCAGAGCGAATTTTAAAACTGAGCAAAAATGAAGTTTGAAGACATATTTCATGTTGACAAACTTATTTTATGCTCTTTGTAAAGAATTCAATGGAAATGTCTTTGAAATTGAAGATTGTCTCTCCCTCTGAATAGTTAATCCTAAGAAAATAAGAAAAATCTAGGTGTAGTTTGATTTAGTATGTTGGAAGATGCCAGCATTTCTAGGAGTAGATGATGGCTTTTCCCCAATTTCATGCAGTGGAGATGGTTGGGGATGCATTCTTTCTCTTGTGGCATGTTCAATCTGCCTGCCTATCCCTAGTTGGAAGTCCCCTCACAGCAGAAGCTTGCGTGAGCTCTGCATGGAGACCCCATAGAGGAGGCAGCATAGTCCCTGACCTTAGAGAGTGCACAGGTTGTGAGGATAGATAGGTTAAAGAACACTTTGACATGGTGGAAATGAATATAGTGTGAACTGAGATCAAGTGGAATTAAGATGGGATTTGGAGCACAAGTGGCAATCACAGCAGGGTGGGGAAAGAAGAGGGTGGTCAGGCGCAGTATAGGGCAGAAGTGAGCAGGATCTGTGCTGTCTCTGGAGGGTAAATGTCCGTTGTTCCAGAATTGCCACTCACTCATTGAGCAGCCATGGGTGAGCCTCTTGATTCACCATGAGCTTTAGTATTAATATTTATAAGACAAAACCAAAACAAATCTTGGAGGATGGGGAGGCTACCAGAGACTAGTCTTAGGGCCAAGAAAAGAGCTGGAAAACATCGCTTGTGTTTAAGTATATGGGAAAAAAGGGTTTTTTTTTTCAACTTTTTATTGTGGTAAAACACACTTAGCATAAAGTTTGCCTTCTTAATCATTTTAGAGGTACAGGTGTCAGTGATATTAAACAGACTCATGTTATTATTACACAACCATCACCATCTGCCACTCCCATAACTCTTTTTATTTTGCAAAACTGAAATTTTATACTCATCATATGATAATTCTCCATTTCCTTCTTCCTCCTGAAAACCACCAACCTGTTTCTATGATTTTTGACTAGTTTAAGAACCTTATATAAGCCGAGTCAGACACATTTGCTTTTCTATGACTGGCTTATTTCTCCCAGTATAATACCCTTGAGGTTCATCCATGTGGTATCTTGTGGCAGAATTTCCTTTAGGACTGAGTATCACCTCCTAGTATGGGTATGCCATATCTTGCTTACTTATTTAGCATTATTTCTTACCAGTGCTCAGTTTCTTTATTTTAAATGGCTTTTGTTGGTTTTTTTTTTTGTGAAAACCTTTTTATAATTCAATTCATAATTTTATGCATTTACCTTACTCACATGTCAGTCAAAAATCACCAACTATTATGAAGGCAAGACAACTTATGTAAAAATATGGAATGCTTCATGGATTTGCGTGTCGTCCTTGCGCAGGGGCCATGCTAATCTTCTCTGTACCGTTCCAATTTTAGCATGTGTGCTGCCGAAGCAAGCACTTTTGTTGTTTTTTGAGACAGGTTCTCACTATGGAGCCCAGGCTAGCCTTGAACTTGCGGCAATCCTTTTGTCTCAGCCTGATTGCTGAAATTACAGGTGTGCACCATCACGCCTGGCTCAGATTTCTTGTAACACTTTTTTTTGGTACTGGGCATCCAACTCAGGACTTTGCACTTGCGAGTCAGGCAGTGGAACGACTGAACTAAATCCCTGGCCCCTTGTAACACATTCTTTGGACAATAGTAAGGGCTTTAGAAGAGGAGATCTTTTTAAATAAGATGATCAATAGTCTTATCTCCCCAATCAATAATATTGCTATATGAGGAATATCCAAACCATATCCAAATGTTTTCTAAGAACTTACTTCACCTGGAACAGAAATCTATATGAGAAACACATACACCATGCAGTTCAAAGGTGAGAATAATGCCTTTGCTTTGGGCTGGGAGGCTCTAGTACCCTGGACCATGGTGTCATATTAAAGAGACATACCTTTCAACTGTGACATGAGAGAGGCCAATTGTGAAAAGCAGTTGGGACAGTAGAATCTGCATAATGTGTCTACCCCCGATGCTGCCTCAGGCACCTCATTTTAGTGCAGACTCCTTGTGAACCGAGGATCTGCAAATAGAGTGCTTTCAACATGCCCTTGTCCATGGCTCTGTGGGGAAGGCTGTATGTACTTCAGGGACAAATGACCACACCCCACTGTTTTGGCACAGAAGGGACCTCTAACTTTGCAGAACTGAGTTATCCCACTTACAGCGCTGTGTCCTCTTCTGTCCCACGCAGGTACGAGGTGGAGATTAATAGACGCACTGCTGCAGAGAATGAGTTTGTGATGCTGAAGAAGGTAAGAAGAGTGCAGTAGGTCTGGAAGAAACTTAGAGGGGTCCCACCAGCTGGCACACTGATGTTTGTAGGGTGAGGAAAGGAACCCTTCAGATCACTCAATTCCTTGGACAAAGGTGATTAGGGTCCTAACTTCTCAGCTCCTTCCAAGTCCCGTTGCCTGGGGTGCATGCTGCTTTCAGAATCTGCAACTTGATATCCAGGCATTCTGCTGCACTTCCTGTGTCACTTTGCTCTCTGGGACTAGGCCATTCTTGAAGCGTGAGGTGAGGGGAGTGGACAGATCCGGGGAGGGCAGGGAAGAGAAGGCGCCTGAACCTCTGCAGGCAGCCTGGAGGTCATGTTTTTTCTAGGATGTAGATGCTGCCTACATGAACAAGATTGAGCTTCAGACCAAGGTGGACTCTTTGACAGAAGACATCAAATTCTTCAAGTGCCTCTATGAAGAGGTAAGAACGTCACTGACCTCTCTTGTGCAAGCTGCTCCTCTTGCAGGTGGCTTACGGTCTGTGGCTGGGATGATTCACTGATGGAAAACACAGGATGACTGTGGATGGGATGGGAAACACAGAAGATGACTTCTGTGAGTCCTCTGAGTGCCAAGAGAAGAGTTCCAACTTGACTCAGCGAGTGGGAGGGTGGGTTTCTAGTTATTGAGGAGGAGAGTGTAGAAGGGTAGGACAGTCTTGAGTACCTTGTGGACATGGCAGTCCCATTGTTTGGGCCTGAAGCTCGAGGTACCCATTCCCATGCCTGGTAGCCACTGGTGCTGGGGCAGAGTTCAAACATTGAGGAAGGGGTGGGGAGGGCAGTGGGGAATCTGTCCAGGGAGATTCAGGAGACATGATCCCCACATGGGACCCTCTAACTGGCTACCTCCTCTCAACTGTCCCCAGGAGATTGCTCAGATGCAGTCCCACATCAGTGACACATCTGTCATCCTGTCCATGGACAACAACCGGGAGCTGGACCTGGACAGCATCATTGATGAGGTTCGAGTCCAATATGAAGAGATCATGCAGAAGAGCAAGGCTGAGGCTGAGTGCTTGTACCAGACCAAGGTGAGCTATGTGCTAAAGCCCAAGGACTGCAGCTAATGCCCTTTTATCATTATGCATATGTAGATGTGTGAGCATGCATGTGTTTGTGTGTCCATGCATGCATATGTGGGCACTCATGTGCATATGAGCAGTGGAGACTTATTATGTATTGGGGTAAGGCTTCATTGAAATGTCTTTTGAGAGATCAGTCTTGGATTGTGCTGGGGCATATATGGGATTAGCCTTTCTGTTGGCTGAGGCCATACAAGCCATAAACCGATAAGACTGACACAGTTTCTTTGGGTAATCCACATACTTTGGCTTTTCTTGTTTTTGTCTTTGGCAAAATGAAGACTGTTAATTCTGACCTTCACCAATGCTCTCATATTTGAGAACCAAAAGATCCTATTGAACTAAAGAAGGGCCCTTCCTCTCCAGGAGAAAAGGATGGATTATTAAGGGATAATATCTTATATCTTCCCCTTAACTTCCCTCTGAGGATAGCAAACCCATGAGTTCCCCCAAAGTTTGTAGAGGCCAGTGCAAGGGTTTAAGTGCTAACATGGCTAACATGGCTTGCATAATAAGCATGCATGTGGTCACCCTCCCTGTGCTGAGCACTCCTACACAGGTGAATTCTCAACTGCCTTGTGCTTCTCTTCTTTTGTCACTCAACTTCAGATCCAGGAGCTGCAAGTCACAGCAGGTCAGCATGGGGATGACCTCAAACTCACCAAGGCAGAGATCTCAGAGGTCAACCGGCTGATCCAGAGGCTCCACTCAGAGATAGGGAACGTGAAGAAGCAGGTGGGTTCTAGGAAGTGAACCAGTAGATTATTGAGCACCAACCTGAACAAAACAGAACATGAGAAAAGGGTAAGACATGGTTCTTTCCTTAGACATTTATAACTTACCAGGAGAGGAGGACCTGAATGCATGTGAAAAGAGAGAGTGTTCTATACAGCACCACACAAGCTGTAAGTACTCTAGGGGTCCAGAGGGGCTGGAGATGAATGAGGATTCGAGAGGCACTTTCTGTAGGAGGTAGGTTTACATTGCAATAGGAGTTAAAGGGAAGGGAAAGTGTCCAGGTGGAGGAGCCAAGAGGGGTAGTGGGTGGAGGTGGCACATGTGCATGGAGGAAGCTTGCCCACGTGGAGCCAAGTGCTACTTAGTGAGAGCGGAGAACAGCACTAGGTAGGAGTTGGCAGGTTGTGGGCAGCGTTCAAAACCAGGCAGTGGGGTTTAGACTGGACCAATTCCCTTTAGTAGGTAGAGGGAACCACTTGTGGGAGTTTCACATGATTCATTGTTAGAAAAAGAATCTATGGTGGATTTTAAATGGGGTCTGCTCTAGTGTGGCCTTCCCTGTGGTGGTGCTGTGCAGGGCACTGTACCCAGCTCCCGTCTCTGGAAGTGCACAGTCTGTGACCACATCTGCGCCACCATATCTGTAGCTCTGAAGCCAGCAAACCCATGAAGTACTCAAAGTTTGTGAAGGTCAGGGCAAGGATTTAAGGATCTTAGGTTTCTGGGCATGTCTCTGCCTCGTTTCCTTGCCCTCCTTGTCATTCTTCACCCCCTTACCCTACACACACACACACACACACACACACACACACACACACACACACTACTGTTTCTCTGAGCAACGGGCTTATTATGGCAGTGGGAAGGAGAAAGCAACATTAAATAAGAATGTATGAAGTAGGAGGATCTCAAGTTTGAGCCCAGCCTTGATTTGAATTTGTCTCAAAATGAAAAAATAGAAAAAAAAAAAAAAAAGGCTGGGGATGAAGCTCAGTGTGAAGGCTCTAGATTCAATTCCAGAGAGAGAGAGAGAGAGAACACAAATGTGTTTGATCTGTACAATGCAAGAAAAGTACAGGTATTTGAAGTTCTCCTAGCATTAAGTGTAAAATTCTATGTGCTCATGGTTAGGATATTACTGGAAAGTGACATTTTTCAGATAAGAATGCTGCTGTACTCTGTTGATCAGGGAAGATGTTTCTGTGGAGAACATGTGGGATTCTTGCAATACTTGGCCCCGATTCAGATGTCTTTTGAGGGCCCTCAGCCAAAGGACTTTCTTGCCCTTCTTGCCTCCTCAACCAAAGAAGCCCACAGGTCCACATCAGAGCCTCTTGGTATTTGGTGGCACCAGAATCCATGTGATATTTGTTTCAAAGAAAGTTAAAATTTCATGTCCTCTCAACTCACATGACATCCAGAAGATGTTAGCCTTTGACATTCCATGGGTTCATCCTGTGGGTCTTAGTGAAAAAGGACAGAGGACAATGTGACTGAATTCAGGTGGTGGAGTTTATTACCCTCCTGTGTGATTCGACCTCCCCAGTCCCAATAATGACATATGTTTTTCTGTGGTCAGGTGGCTGGGTCCTGGGTAGCTCCTTGAGTTTGTGGGCATTGGCAGTGCTGGGGACTGCCTAACTGAGGAGGTGGTGCCAGCTTGAAAACAGTCTAGAAATCTATTTGGCATTAGGGTGCTGTTGTTTTTGCCTAAATGAGGAGGTGGTGCCAGCTTGAAAACAGTCTAGAAATCTATTTGGCATTAGGGTCAGCTGTTGTTTTCCTTGACCTGAAGTAAAATCAACTCCCCGGAAAGGGGACACCCCACAAAGAGAAGGCTGATGCTTAGATCCCATCAAAACTTTAGCTGAATGGCCAGAATGCATCAGACTAAGAAACTCAAGAAGGCTCTAGGGCTTTCACATGCATGCAAGCACACAGCCCCTTCTGCAGTGTCCTCCAGCAGGTTACATGATGCTAACTAAGAGAGGCATGTGTCATCTATAAAACCTGTTAGTTATATAAGAACATCTTTAAGTTTTTCCTTGACTCTTAATATAATTTTCTGTGGGGCTCTGGAGGCGAGACTCTGTGGTAAACTGACTAAAAAGACACTTGATTAACAGGCTTGTTGTTAGCCCCCATTCTCCTTGCATGATTTACAGTATCTTCCAAGACAGCTTGTACACTGCAGAGTTGCATTAAGTATGGCTATCTGGGGACTACCAGGGTTGTACTTAGAATCTTATAGCTGATACTTCAGACTAGGCAGGACAGGGCTGGGTCTGCACACCCAGGTGTCCCACCTTCTTGGTGCTCTTTCCCTAAACTCTCCCAGGTAGAGGCTCCTACTTTAGATGTTGAGGCCTGAGCTGGGATGGCTTATGCCTGGAGTTGGGGGATGAATTGATTCAGTCCTACTGATGATCAAAATTAGTTCAACCAGGAGGCAATCAAAACATTTGCTCATTTTATATAGGGAGAGGAGGGGTTTGAGGGAGGAAATAGGATAAAATGAACAAACAAACAAACAAACAAAAGACAACAAAAAACATTTGCTCAGTCAGGACAGCAAGAGGGGAGGCTGTCTGATCAAGATCTCAAAGTGCTGAATCCCTTTGCCCCTCAGTGTTCCAACCTGGAGGTGTCTATCGCTGACACTGAACAGAGGGGAGACTGTGCCCTCAAGGATGCCCGGGCCAAGCTACATGAGCTGGAGGGTGCCCTGCAGCAGGGCAAGGAAGAGCTGGCCCGGTTGCTGCTAGAATACCAGGATCTTCTGAACACGAAGCTGGAGCTGGACATCGAGATTGCCACCTACCGCAAGCTGCTGGAGAGCGAGGAGAGCCGGTGAGGAGCGGATACCTTCTGCATGAGGCAGTTTTCATCTGCTCTAGTGAGAAGCCCAAGGCAAACAGTTGGGTTCTGTTTGGGTGCCTTACTGAAACAAAACCATCCAGCAAAGGGCTTGCTTTGTGGTAGGGAAGTTATTCATCAAGAAGGACCAAGTTGTAAAAATCAGAGGTTGTGAGAAAGGCTGTTAGTGTCACAATGCTTGAGAAACAGAGCATTCCGTGGCTTGTCAAGATGCATGAGTTGGTGGGGAGGGGGTGCGAGATGGCCACTAAGAGTCATCCGAGTTCAAGGTCACCCTGGCAACGCCTGGGGCCTAGTGAGGATATGGGCTCATTCTTAATAGTCTAAGGTCAATGGCTTCACAGATAATCCCAAAGCCCCTGCTGGAGAGTGAGTGACTCCCTCCAGTTGAGTTCTGTCCAAAGTTCTCCGTTTCTTGAGTGGCCCTGCTGGGATGTGATAAGAAAGGAGGCCTAGATGGTATTGTGGATATGTTCTCAGAAGAGATGCTTATTCCCAGAGGCTACTCCCTGGAGAAACAGTGTGACTGTTTACAGAGGATTCACCTGTTTTCTTCTCTTTCTGCAGGATGTCTGGTGAATACCCAAATTCCGTGAGCATCTGTAAGTACCTGCACCTCTCAGTTCTGACTGTGGTCACTTTACCAGAAGTCTGAGTCCCTCTGATTCTATGATACAGAAAAGAAAGCAGAATCACAGAGAGGGTTCAATGGAAACTTAAGGCCAGAAAACGAAGCTGGCTTTAGTAGCAATAGGGAAACAGTGAATAAAGAACAATAGTATCATTAACACAAAAGTAAAATTTATAGAAAGATCCAGGACAACCAATAGCCACTGTAAGAACAGTACTTCATGGCTACATTCTTTTCCTGTTGAGGTCAGACCAACATAAAGACCCTAGATTATAAGAAAAAACATTGAGGGAGGCCTGAAAGGTCGCACAGTTGAAAAAAAGGCACCTGGAACCATCACCTTCAGGCTTAAATCCTGGAGTGAGGCTGAATACTGAGGCAGGGATACTCCTAGAACTCCCCCCCCCCGCAGCATCAGCAGCACAGAGGACCTCTCTCCGTGAAGTACCTGTCTTCATTTTGTCCCATCCACAGGGAAGCTTGCTGATAGAGCTTTGTCTGCTAGAATCTTAAAGTCTTGATATCAACAGATTGACATAGACTGCTAGGAAAAGGTCAAGTACATGGGGCTGAGTACATGAAAGATGAAGCCACGTGTGGTCAGTGCTCATAAGAACCTCTCAGAAAGTGCAAGATATGTGAGAAAGGGAATATCTCAACATGAAGCCACCTCAGGGGAGAGCTAAGGCTGTGTGCTGGGATGCCCCGGGAAAGGGTCTGTCATGGTGCAGGCTGACTGGGGTCTTCTCTTGTCCTTTCCAGCGGTGATCAGCAGCACTAATGCAGGGACAGGAGGGGCTGGTTTTAATGTAGGCTTTGGCGCCTCGAGCAGTTACAGCTACAAAGGGGCTGCGGTGGATGTCAAGACCAAAGGCGACTGTGTCAGCGAGCTCAAGGATCCTCTTGGCAAGACCTCAGGCAGTAGCTGTACAACCAAAAAGGTCTCCAGATGACAGGCAGTTGGGACACTGAGCAGAAGACTGCAGACCATTTCCCTCTCCTTCCTTGGGGCCCTTCCCAGGCCAGGAAGTGCTTTGTCTCTCACCACAATCCCAATCCCACCTCCTCTCCGTGTTGTCCTTTCATGTAGGAAGGCCAGTCATGGGCTCTCTCCTGGCCTCCTTCCTGGTCACCTTTCACTGGGTGACTGCCTCACACGCGGAGCTAATGCACACTCCTTGAGTATTTGCTTGCAGCCAGCTGCCAGCCCCTCTGCCCAGAGCCTTTTGGGACCTTCACTGCCAAAGGGTTCCCTTCGTCTTCTGACTGAAATTTTGTTCACTTCTCTGCTTCTACAATAAATGATTGCTGCCGTTTGTCTTTGTTTCCTGTTGCTATGACAGAATATCTGAGGCTGGGGAATTTAGAAAGAACAGAGGTTAATTTTGGCTTACAGTTCTGCCCAAGAGCATAGTGCTAGCATCTGTTTTTAGCTTCTGGTGAGGGCCTTGTACTGTGTCGTGTGGTGGCAGAGAAGCAGAAAGGAGAAGCTGGTGTGTGTGCTAAGCTGATAGGAGATGGCAAGCTCACTTTCTAACAACTCTCCAGAGGGAACTGGTAAAGGCTCTTGAAAGACATCAATCCACCAATCCAGTCAGTTCCCAGAGATCCCATGTCCCACCACCACTGCGTTTGGATCAAATTTCAACAAGGGTCAGTACAGATGAACCGTATTCAAAACAGCACCATCTGGTCCTCAGTGCGGAATCTGTTGCCCTGATGTTAATCTTTGCACCGTCCTAACCTTTCTTGGTCTGACTGGTGCTTTCCCCGGAGTCCCCAGCTCCGTGTAGATCTTTGTTCTCTAGGTGGGCAACGGGTGGAAGCCGGATGTGGGAAAGAGCTGGATTTATCTCTGATGCAGCTTCTGGGCCAGTTCAGTGCTGCCGTCCTCGGCTCTGTGATAGGGATGATGCCGCCTCCCTCCAGTGCGTCACACACAGGACCGTCGGAGGTGGAGCTTCAACACGGCTTGCAGCTCAGGTTCTCCAGGACCCCGTGGTCTCCTCCACTCCCTGCTTGGAGTTGTGAGAGTGGCAGTTCCTTCTTTTTCCACATGCCTCCCATTTCCTCATCCCACGTCCCCACAGTGGTCCTGCTTTTCTCTTCTTTTTCCAAGTTCCTTTTACCCCTCAAGAGTGATGTCGGTGCATGTTAGGTACTGGGGACACCAGAATAAGCTAAAGGGGCCCAGACCTCAGAGGGCTCATAGACCAGTGGGGAGAGTAAAGCAAGCAACCAACAGAGCAATATGTAATACAATACCCAGTGGCATTAAGTGCTGTGAAGAAAATTAAGCAGAATAAGGAGCCAAGAGACCCAAAGGTGCTCTTTTTAGTTTCCACAAGTTTATTGGTACATTTTAGGTATGCATTATGATCACATTCATCATGGGAATTTGTTTTTTTTCTTTTTATTGAGTTTATTGGTATAATCTAGGTATACAATACAGTTACATTCATTGTTGGGATCTTGTACCTTTACATGACAGGTCTTGGTTCTCATTTTTCCCCTTGTCTCTGCCCTCCCTTCACCCCTCCTCCCCTCCCCATCTACAAGCACTTTATTTCTATCTTTTCTTATCTCACATTTTTTTCTTTTCCCTTATTACCCTTCCCCTATCCATCCCACCTTCCCTACACCTTTAGTCCCTTTCTTTCCATTTCACAATGTCAGTACTGGATATCTGTTTGAATCTGTTTTATGGATTCTATTTCTTTCCTTTGTTGGGTTTTTATTGTTTCCATTTCTTTCTTATGCTGGGCCTTTATGACTTGTATCGTGGTCCTGAGCTCATCTATTTTTTTGTCACTCTGTTCTAGAGTCTCGAATCATGACTTTCATTTTTCTCGCCATCGCTACGGTTATCCGGGAAATTATTTCTGTTTTGAATTTTTCTAGAGGCTGATTGATCTGTTTTGTTACTTCCTGTGCTTTGAGTTCAGGGTGTCCTGGTGGTTCACTATTGGCCTTTTCATCCTCATTTGCCCTACTGTTTGCCATTGGTGAACTGGAAGTCTGTCTTTGTGTCTTGCTTAAGAGTTTTCTCATTTTTATTTTTGTTGTTGGACTGTCCTTGGTTTAATCTCTGGGTTATCACCCAAATCTTCCTCATATATTTGCACCCTAGTTTCTGAGTCTCTAACGACCCACAGACATTCTCATCTTCATAACATCAGAGAAAATAGCTCATCAAATTAACCACAATCCTTTATCCCAACTGATACAGTCAGCCACACAATATGATCAAGCACACCTTGGAAAATGACCACCTGTGGTAGTCACTAGTCTATCACCCTTAAACCATTTGAATTAAATTCAAATCAAGAAGCAGTCCAAAACATGTCTGCAGTGAACAAACTTTTCAATATAGTATATTTACCATTTAGGATAGGGTCTCAGACAGAGCTAGGACTCAAAACCCCTGATCTCAGTTAGCTGATGGCTGAACACCATGGTGCAGACTGACCTTGGGCTGCAAGGCCCAGATTGAGTTCCCCAACCTTCTGAATGGTTGAACTCCACACCATTCTACTACAGTTTTCCCATGCCCTTTCTTTAAAGATGTTCAAAGTTGGGAACTCAGAAAAATACCCTTTATGACCACCTCTGCCTCTGCAGAGAAGGTCCAAAGACTGGCACAATCAGGAGGTCTGAGAGTGTGCGGTGGGTGGGTTTGGTTAGGGGAGTTGTGGGGGTTCAGGGGCATACGGCTACCTTCCTGGTGCTGGAGAGATGGCTGCTATGGGTGGGAAAGGGCGTGGCTATTCTTCCCTCCGTGGATTGGGGCCCAGGCAGCCTTCCTGGCGCTGGAGAGATGGCGGCTCCCGGCGGGGACACATCCATCATGGGAATTTGTACCTGCACATGATATATCTTGATTCTTGTTTTTTCCCACCCCTCCCTATTTATGAAGTCTTTGTTTCCGTTTTTTCCTTCTTTTCTCATTTTTCCTTTCCCTGCTTTCTTTTTGCCCACCCCCTCCCTATTTCCGCTTCCCCTTTGAAACTTTTCTTCCTGTTTCACATTATCTGTTATACATTCTGGTCCTCATTTACACTTTCAGTTTCTCACACCAGAGAAACTACTCAGTATTTGCAATGCGTGTTCTACTCACTTCACTTAAGAATATGGCCTCAATGTACATCCATTTACTTAAAAATGTCTCCAGTTCATCATTCTGTATGACTGAGTAGTACTCCATTTTATAAAAAAAAAAAAAAAACAACTAGTTGATGGGCATTTGGGCTGATTCCAAGATTTAGCTATTACAAACTGTGCCACTGTAAACATGGGTGAACATATATGACTGTGGTATGATTCTTTTAATTCTTTTGGGAAGATATCCAGCACGGGAATAGCTGGATCAAATGGGACCTCTAATCCTATTTTTTTGGTGGAATCTCCGCACTGATTTCCAGTGCTTGTACCATTCTGCACTCCCACCTGCAGACAGTGGAAAAGGCTTCCTTTTTCCCCCACCAACATTTGTTATTAGTTGATTTCTTGATAGCAGCCATTCTTTCTAGGGTGAGGTAGAATCTCAGTGTTATTTTCATTTGCATCTCACAGATGACTAGTAATGTTGAACATTTTTTCATATGTTTATTTGCTGCTTTACTTCTTTGAGAAGTGTCTGTTCATTTCAGATGCCCATTTTTGGATTGAGTCTTTTTTTTTTGGAACCTGTTTTTTTTTTTTTTTTTTTTTTTTTTTTTTTTAGTTCTTTATATATTCTAGATAGTAGACCTTAATCTGAGGGACAGCAGGTAAAAAAAATTTTTTTTACCACACTGTGGTCTTCAGTGTCTCTTCACTCTGTTGGTGGTTTCTTTTGCTGTGAAAAGCTTTTTAATAAGAAGAGATCCCACCTGTTGATTCTTTGTGCTAGTTCCTGTGTGACTGAGGTTTTGTTCACAGTCTTTCCCTTTGCTAATATCCTTCAGAGTTCTACTTAATCGATCTTCCAGCAGGTTTAGTGTTTCATTTTAATATTTAGATCTGTAATTAATTTTGATTTTAGTTTAATGCATGGTGAGAGATATAGGTCTAGTTTTAATCTTTGGCAAGTTGAAACTCAGTTTTTTCCATCACCATTTATTAAAGAGAGGCTATCTTTCCTCCAGTGAAGGTGTTTGGTTTCTTTGTCAAAGATGAGGTGGCTGCAAAAGACTTCTAGGCTTAATTGACACTTCCAGCACAGTAGCTAGATACAACGTCAACACTCAAAAATCAATAGCCTTTTTCTACACAAATAACAGACTCACTGAGAGAGAAATTAGGGAAACAATTGCTTTCACAATAGCATCCAAAAAAATGAAGTATTTAGGAATCAATCACATTAAAGAAGCAGAAGACCTCTACATTGAAAACTATAGCACTCTATCGAAGAGGACATAAGAAAATGGAAAGATATACCCTGTTCCTGGGTAGGAAGAATCAACATAGTAAAAATGGCCATACTACAAAAACTGCTATACAGATTCAATGCAATGCCAATTGAAATTCCAACGGTATATTTCACAGAACCAGAGAAAACAATAGAAAAATTCGTTTGGAACCAGAAGAGTCCTAGAATAGTGAAAGCCATCCTAGGCAACAGATTCATGGCAGCGGGTATAACAATTCCCAATTTGAAAGTATACTACAAAGCCACTATGATAAAACAGCATGGTACTGGCAAAGAAACAGACCTGAGGACCAGTGGAATAGATTGGAAGATACAGAAACAACTCCAGATGTACTCAGCTACCTCATCTTTGACAAAGGAGCCAACCATCCTCAGTGGAGGAAAGATAGCTTCTTTAATAAATGGTGTTGAAAAGACTGGATTTCAACCTGCCAAAGATTAAAACTAGACCCTTATCTTTCACCATGCAGTAAACTAAAATCCAAGTGGATTAAAGATCTAAATATTTAAAAAGAGACATTAAATTTGCTGGAAGATGTTAGGCAGAACTCTTGAAGACATTGGCATAGGGAAAGACTTTATGAACAAATCCTCAGTAGCATGGGAACTAGTAGAAAGAATCAACAACTGGGGTCTCATTGTATTAAAAAGCTTCTGCACTGCAAAGGAAACCATCAACGGAACTAAGAGACAACCTACAATGTGGGAAAAAAATTTACCAGCTGCTCCTCAGACAAAGGACTATTATCTAGAATATATAAAGAACTAAAAAAAATCAAGCCCCCCAAATATAAAGACCCAATTCAAAAGTGGGCATCTGAAATGA